TAGAGAGAGTGCTTTCAGTCCAAGGCATGCTTTGAATTTCAATATAATCGTTTTATCATGTCTAAAAATTGCTGTTTTATAATTTAACTGAAAGCTTACATTCCTCATTTTCTAGTGGAATTATTCAGACAGTCGCACAGACAATAAAAGTTCTCGTACAAATCATTTACGACTCCACGAATCTCGAACTTTGTCGATGCATGATGTTAATAAGTAACTACGTCTCTTGTTTATTATTCACTTATCCACATTCTACATAATTTGTTATTCGCATACGAAAATTTCAAACGTTGGTTCCAAAATGTCGGCGAGTCGCATTCTGAAGTTGATCATACTAAAACGGGGGCACGTTGCCTAAGTTACCAGATGCAAGCAAGACAAAGGTCTTGATTGGATCACTTAGGAGACGACATGTGCGCGCCTGCCTCGTCACCCAAAAGGAGATACGCGACGTAAAGCCTGTGTCGCGAATGCAGATGCGAGAGCTGCTGCACTTTAACAGATCGAGAACCTGGATTACATTAGGAGCCTCATCTGTCTCTGAGTTGCAAGTGCACGGCTTAAGCGACATGCAAACGAAGAATTGGGTAGTATAATTTGGCATGTTTTTTATTCTGATAACACAACATTTTACTAGTAGTTATTAAAATAATGATGGGAACGCTACTTTCATTAAAGACAGATTTGTCGGGTTGAACTTAGAACAAACTTGAAAGTGGGGCTCTTAGTATTTTTTGCACTTCTGATCACAATAGGTTCCATTATATTTTTATAGCTCAAATAATGCATATAAAGTTCATTGTATCTAAAAATAAACCATTCATGGAGGTAAATGACATGATAACAGAATGTTAAATCGACGAAGAAATAAAAAAAAACTTTTGCGTGCACTTCAATCAACCTGTAAAACATGAATTTATTGGTGAGGGGTTTAAAAAAATCAATGCATAATTAATTTCAACCGTTTGAACTAATTTTGTGCATCAGATGAATTTAGCCTACCGTAGAGCATCAGAAATTAAATTATCATCTAGGATGCATAGAAAAATTCTGCAGCCAGACGCGAACGAAAAGAAACTGACTCGACGTAGGTAGCTTGAAACTAATTTACTACCAAATGAAATAGAAATCTGTCATGGATGCGAGTTGACCAGAAACCACGCGAATGTGGGAATGAAGAAAATTGCATGAACATTTCGATACTGTTTTAGCACACATGCGAATTGCGCTGCAATTATGTAAATAGAAGAGATGTGGGAATGATTACCATTGAAGTATGAGCAAAACTTTGACCGGTATTCACTGGTTACCTCCTTTACCGTAGGTATTTGCATTTTGATACCGAACATTAGTATTCACAATTTTCAGCGAACTGTTTTTGTGTGTCTCGTTTTTAAATTAAAATAAATGTAACAAAAAAATCCAGTAAATTTTATGTAATCATTGACAGTGACTCATTAAATTTGTGGTTAGGTAAAAGTTGCAAATTTCATCTTACTGAAAAACCGCGTGAACAAACTTTTTGCTTAGGAGCAAAATTAATTTCAAGTTTCAAAACCATTGTCCTAAAATATGTTTTAGTATCCCTAACTTTTTAAAAATTTTCTTTGAATTTTAAGATGCCACGTGTCGTCAGAAATACATAGAAGAACCGGTCCGCACAAACATGTGTTCATCAATGCGGTCTAAGTAAGTTGAGTTGTCAGTGGGCTGAATGTGAAGCTCATTTGATGGTTGTGCCAGTCTTGTTACCGGTTTTACCCAATGGCGTCCAAGCGCGGGCCTACAGTCGAAGGGACTGATGGCACCGATTTCGTACATCGGGAAAGAGTGGCTACCCACTACCAGATTAGGTAAGTGTAATTTGAGCTAGAATGAATGTTGTGGAATTTTCTGCAATACGTGCAAACGGTGCAATTCATTGTAGTGTTTACCCAGACTCGATTAGCCCTACGGTATTGTGTTCTGTTTTGCAAGGCGAAGTTGACGCCTCTACGTCTGTCGATGGTGTTATAATTTTATACTAAAATTTTTCTATAAAATTTGCAGCGTTTCCCCTTAGTGAGGCTTAACCCGTTGTTACATATAGTATAGCTATATTATATACCCTATGTCCCTATTCTATATGTTTGTTTTTATTTTCATTCTCCTGAAGCCGACTACTAGTCGAGTGTTGATATGTTCCAAGAATTCTGACTTAAAGACTTATTATTTTCCTGAGTCAACTGAGTTAATTAATCAAGTGACGGAAAATAAAATTCCATGCAAAAGTCTACCCATACGATAGACTATCATAAAGGAAGGAGTTTTAGAACAGGAAACCTGCTTGCCCTCTCATTCAGCAGTACCTACGTGTCCATGACAAGCATATGCAGTGCAATGTGCCAGTGTCTGATAGTGATTTTCGAATTTTAGCCTCCTCGACCGCCAACCGGTGATTCCGATGTGCAAATTTTAGAGTCCCTTTATATTTTTAAACAAAAGCCCATTTAATTGCTGCTAATAGCTCATATCCCCTCAAAATTGTAAATGCCTAGAAAGGTTTGTGCCATGTTTGCTTCATTCTTGTTTGTTTCTCATTTGACGATTTATGCTTCAATGTGAATTTATTGCTAATTGTTTGTACCTGTGTTTTAGGTTTTGAACTGATGATGGAGCTGGTCTCCGAAACGTTTTCCTTTTTAAGAAATGGTGAATTTTCTGGCTATTTTCTTTGCTTTTAAATTTTTG